TGCATAAAACAGCCATATGGTTTTTTTGTTTTGTCTCACTGTGTTGTCCAGGCTGGAGTACAAGCAGTGCGATCTCGGCTCACCGCAACCTCCGCCTCCAGGGTTCAAGCAATTCTTCTGCCTTAGCCTACTGAGTAGCTGGGATTACAGGCGCCTGCCACCATGCCCGGCTAACTTTTTAAATATTTTTAGTAGAGACAGGGTTTCACCAAGTTGGCCAGGCTGCTCTTGAACTCCTGACCTCAGGTGATCCACCCGCCTCAGCCTCCCAAAGTGCTGGAATTACAGGTGTGAGCCACCGTGCCTGGCCCATATGTTTAATTATTTAAAACATCTGTCTTGTGCCCCCTCAGTAAAAATTTAAAAAAAAAAAAAATTAAAGAACAAAAAATATTTATGTCTCTAGAATTATCACTTTAAATTCTTCAAATTACCAACTGAATAAACAAAAAGTATTCTGTAAACTACCCCACCAAATAGGGATAAATAAGCTTAAAAATTAAGGTGACTTGCCAAAGGTAATGTTGGTTAAAAGTGAATCTAATATTGGTTCTCAAACTTTCAACCAGTCATTTTCCTATCAAATGTTGAAGTGACTTAGAAACTTACAAAGTGAATTCATTTTATATACCCTAAATATTTTTAATTTTTAGGATTGTTATATAGAAATATAAAATAACCAATTTTATCCCAATACTTCTCATTTCAACATGAGTTTGTACTTTTAACGTAAATCAAGGAATCTCAAAAATACAGCTACCAGAAAAACACAAAAGCACAACCATAGTAAGCATGAGACCACATCTTGCATCAGAATGTACTAACTTCAGAATAAATAATGAAGTTTCCAGTCTTTGGCAGTGAGAATGGTCAATATGAATAATCTGGAAAACTAATTTTGACACCCTCTGCCATTAGGACAAGAAAACCAAAACAGAAATCGCAACTGCTTCTTAGCAATACATATTTTCTGATAGCATCCCACAAGAATGAGAAATTTAGAATCAAATAAGCAGATCTCAAAAGGGCAAGCACAAAGCACCTGCCACACAGTGCTCAGAAATGTGCCTTGCATAGTGGTTCACACCTATAATCCCAGCACTTTGGGAGGCTGAGGTGGGTGGATCACCTGAGGTCAGGAGTTTGAGACCAGCCTGGCCAACATGGTGAAACCCTGTCTCTACTAAAATTACAAAAAAAAATTATGTGTGGTGGCAGACACCTGTAATCCTAGTTACTTGGGAGGTTGAGGCAGAAGAATTGCTTGAACCCGGGAGGCGGAGGTTGCATGCAGTGAGCCGACATTGTGAGATCGCGCCATTGTACTCCAGCCTGGACAAGAAGAGCAAAACTCCGTCTCAAAAAAAAAAAAAAAGAAAAGAAACAAAGAAATGTGCCTTGCATATTTAGAGCTTTCAAAAAATTCTAAATGGGCAGGGTGCAGTGGCTCACACCTGTAATCCTGGCACTTTGCCCAGGCCAGCAGATGCCTTGAGCCCAGGAATTTGAAACCAGCCTGGGCAACAGGGCGAAACCCCCGTCTCTACAAAAAGTAAAATAAATTAGCCAGGTGTGGTGGTGTACACCTGTAGTTCCAGCTACTTGGAAGGCTAAGGTGGGAAGATGGGTTGAGCCTAAGAAGTGAAGGTAGCAGTGAGCCAAGATCGCGCCACTGCACACCAACCTGCGTGAAAGAGCCAACATATAGTGAAACCCCATCTCTACTAAAAAAAAAAAAAAAAAAAAAAAAATTCTAAATGGTCTTTGCTGTTCCACACAGTCTCAATGCTGTTCCATGCATACATATTTCAGATAAGCTAATAGTACCCTTTACAATGTAGCCAAAGGGTACTTTTGTGATGGCAGTATGTACCATAAAAAAGGGCTTTTGTGATCACTGTTAGTAAAGTCAGAGATAATACTCAGAATCTCTTCCAGACCTCCAACTGATTAAAGATAGATCTTCTAGATGCTAAAATCGAGTTCTAAATATTTCTTAAAATCGTAAGAATCAAAATTATACCAACTGCATAAATTCTTCTTTCCCAAATAACATTCCAAGAGTACACTCATTGCTAGCTAGCATTTGGGATAGAATAAATATCAAAATTCTTTTCTTCACAGACCTAAACATCCTTTGCATGTGATCCAATAAAAGTCAACTGGAAAAAGACAAAGATTTTTTGAAAATGTGTTCACTTTCAACTGATTATGGCTGGTTTTTTTTTTTTGTTTTTTTGTTTGTTTGTTTGTTTGTTTTTTGAGAAATGGAGTCTTGCTCTGTTGCCCCGACTGGAGAGAAGTAGCATGATCTCAACTCACCACAACCTCTGCCTCCTGGTTCAAGCGATTCTTCTGCCTCAGACTCCCGAGTAGCTGGGATTACAGGCAAAAGCTACCATGCCCAGCTAATTTTTTGTGTCTTTAATAGCAATGGGGTTTCACCACGTTGGCCAGGCTGGTCTAGAACTCCTGGCCTCAAGTGATCCGCCCGCCTCAGCCTTCCAAAGTGCTGGGATTATAGGCATGAGCCACTGCGCCTGGCTGATCATGGCTTTTATATCACTTGTGTCACAGTATAGTTTGCAGCTTAGCATTTCCAGGGACAAATTCACGTGTAAATTAGCTTGTTATGTAAGGAAAATGGTCTCCCTATTTATACTCATCCTGAATGTAAACCAATAGATCATCCATAGGCCCATCACACAGTGATAGCTTCTGCTAAAATCCTAGACGTGCTGACAATAGTTAATTGCCTTAATTGCTAGAAAATAAAGCTAAGAAATTCTGGAGCAACCATTTTACATTTAAACGGCTTTAATATATTTAAGGTATGAGCTTACTCAACAGGCTTAAAGTAATAAGTAAGCTAAGCCTCTGAGTTGCCAGGCTCCTCTACATTCACTTCACATACCCATAAAATTCAGAAATAGGGCCGGGTGCAGTGGCTCACATCTGTAATCCCAGCACTTTGGGAGGCCGAGGCAGGCAGATGATGAGGTCAAGAGATCAAGACTATCCTGGCTAACACAGTGAAATCCCGTCTCTACTAAAAATACAAAAAATTAGCTGGGTGTGGTGGCACACGCCTGCAGTCCCAGCTACTTGGGAGGCTGAGGAAGGACAATCGCTTGAACCCGGGAGGCAGAGGTTGCAGTGAGCTGAGATGGTGCCACTGCACTCCAGCCTGGGAGACAGAGCAAGACTCCATTAAAAAAAAAAAACAGAAATATATGCCCAAGATGTTAAGTGACTAAATGTGCCAACAAAAATAAATAGCAGACATCTTATATCTAAGCATCCTGCTCTATCAGACCACTTAGCAGTACTGCAAACAAGGTGACTTAATATACGCATCTTATGCCAAAGGAACATCACTACCCCCACTACATCTGAAGTAAGTCACAAAACCCACCACCAAAGAGAAGTAACAGCATAAAACTCCTTTTACTTAAAAACCCTAACTTTTATCATCTCATACTAACAACATCTGATATTAAATTAGCTCAAGACTTTCAGGTTATCATGAGAATTTATTTCCCAGGCCTGCGTTAAGCCTTATAAGGCTGATGTAACCAAGAGAATAACCATCAAAAGTTATCAAAGACCTGATACAAAAAAAAGAAAGATGTTGTCTCCAATAGATGCTCCAGAATTTACTAAGAACTGATCTGCCTAATGACTAGCACCAAACAAGTTGCCACCACACTGACCAACTTCTGGTTTATATAAACTAATATTATAGAGTAACACTCACCATTCACACAATGTTTACTGTGTATCACTGTATGAGCTAAGAACTTTATAAACATCATTTTACATAATCCTCGTAAAAACTGTCAGATTAGCCCCATTTTATAGATGAAGAAACTGAGATTCAAGAAGTTGACCTGCCCAAAGACAGAGCCAGGAAACAGTCAAGTCCAGGTTTGGGTGGTTTGCAAGCACATGGTCTTTTCACTGCACTACATTGATTTCCACCCTTCTCGTCTGGTCACTGCTTGTAAGTCTACATTAAATGATGAGTAAGCAAAGGACCATTTATTTCCTAATTCACAATACTGTACATGTCAGACACCATGAAATGGTCTCGTGTTCCTAAGATTTTAACAGAACAAAGGAGAAGACAGAGACAAATCTTCCCTTCTCTGAAAATGACTTATTGAACCACTTTACACACAGGTGGTTCATCTTTCATCTTTATGAGCTACAAGTCACCTCATGTGAGAATTTTAAAATTTATTTTCTGTATAAATGAACTTTCAATCAGGTCACCACAATGTTTTAAAAATCTCCTGAAATTAGAAATAAAAAACTTATCTTGTTGGTTTAGGGTTTATACTTTCTTCTGGTAGGACTAATACATCAAAAAGTAGAACAACTTCTAAGGTCGAATTTGTGATCCAGGTAAGAAATTCCAGAGCTTCCAAAATGATACTCCAACCCTCAAATGTTCATGCAAGCAGGTGGTTCCAGTTCAACATGGGTAAGTCAAAGTCCCAGAAAATTCCCCAACTTAAAACAAATGACTTAACTGGTTTCTTTCTTTTCCTTGGCACTGCCAAGTATCTATCATTAATAAACTATAAAATAGCAAAGGGGAAAAAAGGAAGGGAGAAATATCCCAGAGTCCTTAGAGGTTCATTGAGATAAACTAAAATTGAAGACTTTCAAACTGTGAAGTAAGCCCTTTGCTTTACAGACAAGCAAATGGGCTCTTGAAGGTAAAACTGACTAAAGTAGGCACTGCCTAATGGTTAAAAGCACCAACTACGGTAGTCAGATAAATCTTACTGACTTAAATCTTGGCACCGTTTAAGTCTGCCACTTAGCATCTATATAGCCATTACCACGTAATTTAATCTCTTTGAACCTCAGTTTCCTCAAATGCAAAATAGGAATAATCCTTACCCCAAAGGCTTCCTGTAAAGATTGCTTTGGACAATGTTTAAAATAGTGACTGGCATGAAGCAATTAACTGTTGTTACTATTATCACCCCATAAAGTCTTTGGTGAAGCTGGAACAAGAACTCAAATTCTGAAGTCCAGTTCATGGTCTTCCAAGATTATCATAAAATCTGTAATTCCAGACTTGCCATCATTCCAAAATTCAGAGCTGAGATAACCATTTATCAAACACAGTCATCCAGGAACATTTAAGTGTCCTTCAACTGCTTTTTCTTAATATGGCAGTTCAAATATTAAAAAGGACACTAAAGGTTTTTCCCAAGGCTATGCTAGCTGAATAATCACTAATCAGCAACCTCACCTGTGTTTCAGGGCCATCATACTTAAGTGTGAGAATTCAGCCTAGGTGACTGCTACAGGCCGGCCATGGTGGCTCACGCCTGTATTCCCAGCACTTTGGGAGGCCAAGGCGGGTGGATCACCTGAAGTCAGGAGTTTGAGACCAGCCTGGCCAACATATAGTGAAACCCCATCTCTACTAAAAAAAATACAAAAATTAGCTGGGTGTGGTGGTGCATGCCTGTAGTCCCAGCTACTTGGGAAGCTGAGGCAGGAGAATCGTTTGAACCTGGGAGGTGAAGGTTGCAGTGAGCTGCACCACTGCACTCTAGCCTGGGCAACAGAGCAAGACTCCGTCTCTCAAAAAAATAACAAACTTCCTAAGCAAAATAAGACCAGGCTCTCACCATTTGACAATTTGCTTCACTACGTGGCAAAATTTTATTCCCTTTAAAGGAAAAATAGCAAAAATATTACAGACATTATGGTATCACAAACATGTTGTCTTTTCCACAAAAAGCTAAGAACCATTATACTATTACTACATAATGGAAGTCTATACTCTCCTCTGAAGGGGGTTCTTCAGAGACTGGACCACTCATGTAGCTGCTCATCTCCTCTCCAGGTACTAGAATGGTAGAACACTTACCTTCATCTCAAAAGTAACACGTGAATGTATTTAAAACACTAAAGAAGTTTTTACTCTACTGGACAACCTCCAAGAGAGTGGGCATTATGAATTAAACCTGAAACATTTCAGACCATGTTGGAGTGATGAGATTACTCCTTCATGAACTCAAGAATCATGAACACTGTATGTTTCTGCGGAAATTCTGGGGAAAGACTATCTAAATCGAGATATAAACAAGTTGTCGTTTCCTGCTTAGCATATACAAATAATAATCGATGTAGGGAGCACTTTGCCAGGAAGATAAAGCCAACTGCTGAAAAAATAAAAGTTTTCTTCTTGAAAGTTGTCATTTAAATGTCTTCTGTTTTCTTGTTAGAAAGTAAATACTTGCTATAAACCTAACTGTTTAGGACGTTGTCACTAGAGAGGGGAAACGGTTGATACTAAAATAGTCCAACACTTGGCGATCCAATAGAGTAGTACTTGTTGGATTCCTATAAACACTTGAATGAAACAACTCAACATATTGACTTCAAATAACTAAAGTTTGCATTTAGAAAATTTTGATCCAGTAAACAAAAATCAGATTCTTCTGGATTAGCAACAAGTATTTCACTGATCTCAGTTCTTCAATACAGAGCTCAAGATATCCAGTGATACATTTCACTCCAGTGGGATACATCTCAAAGAGCAAAAAAGCAAAATTTTCTGGGGAAATGATTTCCATATAATATCACGGAACGAGTTACTGGTTACCTCAGTGGCACCTAAAGGATACTTACGAATTTGTGTGCAGATATTCAAAGGTTAGCTGGGCTCGATTCAGACTGCTGTAATTTGTGAAAGCCATGACTGCAATGAGGTCTCCACTAACTGGGAAATATAACCTTATAATGAAATTAGTTTCCCAGGATTCCGTCCAGTAAAGCTTCAGTAAGTCTGTGCTCCTTAATGACAGTTAAAAGTAACCTAGTAACTATCCAAAATATATGCAAAGAGTTGTTTAAAACTACAATTCCTTCAAGTGTTTTTTTTAATCTTCTCAATGATTACGATGTAATATTTTGGAAGGAACTATGTCATAAATCTGTAGTTTTAAGGAGCTTTTAGCATTAAGTTGCGATAGCTCAATTCAGACAATCTGAGTCTCGTGTGGATGGTCCTGAAGGAGATGGTCCTTGCGTGGGCGGTTTATGACTGCTCCATCTTCATGTTCTTCGAGCCTTTTTTGGTTCCCTGAAATTTCCTGTCAGGAAATTTACCAATCCGGAAATTTACCCACTTCTGTCAGAAAACTGATCAGCCATGTCTTCGCCACACGTGATGCCAGGATTCTTAAACAGGCCCAAGACCGGCGACCAAGATCTCGATGGAGTGTTATACGGCGCAAGTTGCAGCTTCACCACCTCCCAACTGAAAAAGTTCCTAGGCACTGACGACTTCTTTTTTCAAAGCCTTCTTTTTTCAAAGCCTGACCAAACCCAGTTCAGGGTGGGGGTCAGATTACCTCACACTTGGCCCACAAAAACACCTCACAAATGACCCGCCCACAGCACCTCGGGCAGGCCGCGCCCTGCCCCCACGTCCCTCAGACAACAGCCTCAGCCTCCCAGGCCCTTCCCGGGCCTCGGTCCCGTGGCAGCCTCCTCACGAAGAGGAGCTACTCCCGGTTTTCAAGGACCGGATTGAGGGCAGTGGCGAGCGCACCACCTGACCAGGCACTACCCGGATTTCACAACTGCCTTTGTCCCTCCCCGCGGAATTGGAACCCAACAGCCGCAGCGCGCTCTTGGAACCATGTGCTGCTGCTGCCGCCTCCGCCGCCGCCGCTGCTGCCTCCGCCGCCGCCCGCGCGCCGCGCTAGATGAGATGGTGACAGGACTCAGCAACACGAAATTCGGCGTTTAGAGCTGTTCTGCCGCCGCCGTCACAGACACCACAGACACCGCTTTGTCTCCGCTAGTGCACACAGCCCCGGCCACCTCGCACACTCCCCGACGCCCCAAGCCCCCGAGGCCTCCGCGGAGCATTCAGCCAATCACAAAGCTGCAGCTCCTCCCGCCCCCGCCCTGATGTACAGCCTCCTGATTGGCGGACTGCGTGTCCCCATGTGACCGGATCTTGGTTGGCCGGTCCCGCCCCTGTCACGTGAGAGCGTGAGCCTCTCTTCCTGCTTTCCTGACCCTCTCCGCCATTTAAAGAAACAGTACCGGGGGCGGGCCGAGCGACGCAGCCGGGACGGTAGCTGCGGTGCGGACCGGAGGAGCCATCTTGTCTCGTCGCCGGGGAGTCAGGCCCCTAACTCGAAGAAGCCCTGGCGCGCCCTCCCCCCCTCCCGGGTCTGGTAGGGCGAAGGAACGGGCGTGCGGTCGATCGAGCGATCGGTTGGCGGCTCTTTCTCCTGCTCTGGCATCCAGCTCTTGGGGCGCAGGCCCGGCCGCCGCGGCGCGCGCCCGGTGGCCGTTGGCGCTCGCGCCGCGTCTTTCTTCTCGTACGCAGAACTCGGGCGGCGGCCTATGCGTTTGCGATTCGACGAGGAGTCGTCCGGGTGGTCGGCGGCGGCGGGCAGCTGCTCCGCCCCGCTCCGGGGGAGGCGGCGGCGGCAGCGGCCGCGGGATTTGGAGCGGCCGGGGAGGCGGGGGTGGCCGGGGCCGGCTTGGAGGCCTGGCGCCACCCTTCGGGGCCTGCAAGGACCCAGTTGGGGGGGCAGGAGGGGGCCGGAGGATGGTTGGTTGTGGGATTTCTACTTTGCCTTTTCCTTCTTATGCCGCCTTAGTGAGGGGCGGGAGCTCTGGCGGCAGCCCCGGGGTGGGGAGACGAGCTCCGGAGTCGGAAGAGGTGGGTTTGCTTCCGGGCCTAGCCACCAGCTGGCGGAGTGACCTTAGGCGAGTCACTCTGTAATTTTTCTGCGCCTCAGTTTCCTCCTCTGCCTATCAATGTGTGTGGGGTTGAAAGCGCTTTGTAAACTCTAAAGCGTGGGTGTACGTAAAGGATGGTTATTGTTTGTATTTTTTTTTTGGTTTTTAGGAAACTTAGCAGTTCCCCAATCCTTGGGTTTTGAACCTGGAAACCTTGGATTGGAGTTGGGGATCCCCAGACTCCCTGAAATTGTGGGAATGTGTGGTTTGGGGGAATGATGGGAATTTGTGGGAATGTGCGTTTTAGGGGAATGATGATCCATCGCTAGCAAGTTTTCCAAGGGGGCTGTGACCCAGAAGAGTTAAAAATCACAATTTCTTCATGCTACAGAGAGGAAACTGAGGCCTAGATGTCATTTGGGACCCTTCACAACCAATTTGAAGCCCCTGTTTGAGTCCCTGGGATATGTGAGCTGTTTCTATGCATAATGGATATTCGGGGTAACAACAGTCCCCTGCTTGGCTTCTATTCTGAATCCTTTTCTTTCACCATGGGGTGCCTGAAGGGTGGCTGATGCATATGGTACAATGGCACCCAGTGTAAAGCAGCTGCCATTAGGAGTGGATGTGTTCTGTAGCATCCTATTTAAATAAGCCTGTTTAATCTTTGGCCCGGCAACTTTTTTCTGCTGCTTGTACCGGTGCCTGACTATCTTTCTGACTCTCATTGACCATATTCCATGACCATGGTTGTCATCCGTTACTTGATCCTACTTTACGTGTCTAGTCTGTGTGGTTGGTGGTGAATAGGCTTCTTTTCACATGGTGCTGCCAAGCCCAGCTAATTAATGGTGCACGTGGACTTTTAGCAAGTGGGCTCACTGGAAGAGACTGTACCTGGCATGGAATTCCTGAAGATGTTTGGGTTTTTTTTCTTTCTTAATCGAAGGTTAACATTCTCTGAAAAGTTTTGTTAGAACTACTGCGGAACCTCAAAATCAGTAGATTTGGAAGTGATTCAAAGCTTAACTTTTTAACCTTGGCCCTGCTTGTGTTCTAATTGCTTGCAAGTGTAATACTAAGATGTCCAAGATGCTAGTTTTTGCTTCTTTGTTAATTGTCAGCGGCTTTTATCAAATTTCAGGCCATTATCCAGCAAACACTATAAAAATGTTTGAACAATTGGATTTCAAACATTTTCGTTTTGTGGAGTGGTGCTCACCAAGTGGTACAGCCCTAAGCAAGTGAACACAAACACATTTAAGTGTATTTTGTCTGATTAGATGTTAGCCGGTTATGCTATTTCATTCAAATGTCTGAAAAAATCAATTGACTATTCCCTTTTCCTAAAGGGCAGAGACAAATAATCTCACTTCCAGAGAAATGACTGTTTTGGAGGAAAAAAGTGTTGGTCTTTTTGCTCTTTTGTAATTAAATCTGGATGTACCTCAAAAGACTCTTTAAGACTGTGGTGATAAGATGCTTTCCTCAGCAGAAAGGAGGAAAAAAAAACAACTGGAACTCAAAGCTTGAAATTCTGTGGCAAAACATGAGATGTCCAGGATTGGAGGTTGAAAAGATTTCACTACAGTGTTCTACAATAGTTGGAGCAGATAACTTTCAGTGTAGCCACAGCCGTGGACTCCAGATTTCCAGATTTTCAAGAACTGGACTTGGAACCCGAAAGAGCTTATCAGGATGTGGCAGGAACACTGGAGGTAGATATTTTTTTTATTTTTGAATTTTGGGACTGTTGACCTTGCTGTGAGAAAAGAGACAACGACTGAGCAAGCACTACCACCAGCACTGTTACTGGGAATTAGAAGACCTGAGTTTCTGTCCAGACCCTCAGTGGAAACTGAGGACACTCCATCCAAAGTGAATTATGGTACTTGCCATTTTCCAAAATGCCTTTTTCTTTACCATCTCTGCACTTTTGTTCATACTCTCTTTCTAGTTTGGAAATGCTCCTCTCTGGCTTTTCATCTGTCAAAACTGCCATTTTCTCAGTATCCAACTCTTATGGTCTCTTTTCCATGAGTCTCCTAACTAGCCAGAATAGAACTTTTAAGTTTTATGACATTTTGTTATGTATCCTCTATCTGTATACAGAATCCTGTAAAATAGTTACTTGCCTGCATTTTCTGTCTTTGCAGATAGCAGACTCCTTGAAAGCAGAGTCCTTGTTTAGTGCATCTTTCCCACATACTCCACAACATACCATGAAACATTTATTAGGAAGGAGGAGTTTAGAGAGCAGGCTATCAGAATAACCACTCAGTGTTTTCTTAATTGCTATGTGATAACTAAAATTACTCTTAATGAGAAGAAAAGTCGCTAGATATGGGTCATATTTCTTTATGTTTTAATGTTTTTTGATTCTAAATTTTGATCCAGGGAGCCCTCAGACATAAGGAGAAATCAATATATTGAATGGGGTGTTACATGCAGAAGGACCAAGACCTTATTTTCTCCTACTTGAGATGAAATCTTGTTAAGGTGAAAGGACAGCTTTTTAAAAGGAGACGGTCATAAGACAATTTGAGGAAGGCATTGGAAGAGGAAGAGGGGCAATTATATCTCCTTTGTTTTATTGTTGGTATATAAACTTAAAATCTCACTTCTTTTTATGCCACTTGTGGAGCCACTTCCTCTCCCCACCAAAAAATGCCCAGCACCCTGAATCCAATCAGATTACTTTCCCAAAGTATGAGGCTTAGTTTCTGTTTGCTGCTTCACTGAGACAGTTCCCACAAGTTGAGAGTGTTAATCAGGCTTTTGTGTGTTCTTTTTTGGATTGTTGTTGTTTGTTTTCATTTATCATTTGTCTTTGCCTAAGCCAGGCTCATCAAGAATTAACAGCCATCAGGCTACTGATGTACTGACAGCAGACCCACTTAGAGTCCTGTGTTTGTAATTCCATGCATTTGTTATCTTACCTGTTTTGTCCCTGCCCCTTCTAGTCCTGTGCCTCCTGATTGCTGAGTGTTCACCTGGACCTTCTGACTACCTTCCCTGTGCTATTCCATCAGCCTACAGACCTGGTACCTGGATTTTTGCCCGAGATGATTCCTGCCACCTTACTACTGAAGAAGACACCCATTCCAGTGGACCACTGTGACCCAGGAGGCATTCAGCCATCATGATGTGGCCTTTACCTCCACTCCTGTCCTGTTCTACCCAGATTCAGCACAGCCCTTTATAGTGAAGTCAGAGTCCTCAAGCCAAATAGCTAAAGCTGTTTTATCACAACAAAGGCCTAGTTTGTTCCATGAGTGTGCATTTCATTTCTTCAGTTAAAGCCTTCAGAGACACATAATAAATTTGGACCAGGGGATTTTTTAGTTATTAATGCTCTCTGAAGAAAGGGAACATCTTTTTGAGAGCAGCATTGGACCATACCCCACAATCTCAAATGATTGAAGTTCATGAACATCTAGGATCCCATGAAGGTCACTGGACCCTGTTTTTTCTACTTCAAATCCTGTAGTAGCCTACTGAATGAGAAAACATATTCTGACCCATTGGGATCAAATCAAAGGCACAGTGAACTCCTCATAGCATCTTCTTTGGAATTACTCAGGAACCAGAACTTTTTACACAAATGTAAGAAATTCTACCAAGGAGTCCCCTTACCTAAGCATCTCACAAGGCTGCATCAGATTCCAGAAAAGGCTTCTCTTGATACATCAAGGTAGAACCTCTATGGTAAATCCCCTCTGTTTATAATGCACTTTACAGTTTCAAAGCACTTGTACATACATTTATCTCAATTGTCAAAATAAGAGTGAATTATAATCTCTTTTTGCAAATGAGGGAATGTAAATTTTAAAACTTAAGCAGTTATCGAAAGTGACACAGCTGTGAAAGTGGTAGAGGCCAGGTTTTCTGACTCCCAGTCCAGTATTCTCCTTGGAATTACCTACAGTGTTAAAATGACTGGGTATTGGGAACCTCAGGATATTTTCCAGCTTCCTGATCTGGTGCCCCTAGTCACATAGAATGTCTTAAGTATGATCACATGATAGCTACATCTAGACCAGAATCCCATGGCAATATCCCATGGTTTAAGGGCATTTAAGACATTAATACTCCTGGGCCCTAAAAGCTTATCTATGGTCCTATCTCTGCAAACTAGTATTTACACAAAATGAGCCACCTGGTTTTTTTTAAAGGTAGTATTGTTTGTGTGTGTGTATAAATATGACATAGAGAAAGGTGTTACCTGCTAAGATAGTGAAGTATGTAAGACATGTCCCTTCCCCCAGTCTACATTGAGGTGTAGTGTATTAAAGGATCTCAGGAGACTCGCAGCAAATTACTACTGCTTCTGTGCTTAAATTCAGAAGTCTAATTTAAAAAAAAAAAGACTTGTAGCAAAGAGTTCCATTTTGCTGTTTAACCCATTGTGTCCTAAGTTTAATCAAACACAAAAGGGTATTTTTTGCATCATTCCATCTAATGGAATGCAGAAACTGCTTTAGAGCAGTATAGCCAGTGCTTCCTGATTGTCAACAGATTGCCCTGGACACCCCAGAATAAGCAGCATCTTCAAAATCCCCCTTTCTCATACCTTGTTATTAACTGCTTGAATTAGTATGTCTCTGTCATCTGAGAGTCTTGCATCTTGACAATTACCTTTATTTTCTGTCAAGGGAATCTCTAGAAGATGTGTGGGGAGACACAGGAAAGGAATGGAGGAAAGTTAATTCACCCCAAATTGGATAAATTCTATGACATTTAGCAATATACTTCTGTGTCCCTAGAATTGTACCATAACTTTAGTTCAAGGGCATTGCATCTCAGGTGGGTTAAGGAGGTTGGGAAGGGGAGAAAAGGGTTAAGGAGATATTTTCTTCAGATTTGTCAACGTCTGAGAAGTCATCCAGCCATGGACTTCTTGGAGTAATACTTACAAAGAATTGGATGCATTTTGCAACCTTGGGCAAAACCCCAGTGCTGTTGCAACTGAAAATCATTAGCCTTGTTCTCTGATAGTTACAAGCCCAATTGCAGGCAATCAAAATTTATAGCCGATGAGCTCTAACTCCAACCTGTAATGTGGTCCATATTAGGGAAAGAATAGGAATACACCTTGGTTTACCCCAGGCTTTGCTTACAGTTTCTGCTTTCTGTGACCTATTTTTTGTATTTCAGCATTTTGTGACCGACTTATTCTTAGATCATTGGTTTTCCAAAGGCTTTGTGGCCTTGAAGCCCTTTGAGTGAAAACTGCAGAAGCCCAGAGTAAAAGTGAAGCTGCTCTGGATGAAGCAGTGAAGCAAGAGTAGGGGCCTGAAGCCTGCTACAACTATCTTCCTTTGCCACCGTGGTGACACCTAAGGGGACTTCCTTACAACACCTTGAACTTTCCAGAACACAGTTTGAAAACCACTGCCCCAGACAGCAATATGTTTGACCTGAATGGCATTCCAGTCTTTTCTGTACCTCCACTCAGCACAGTTCATGTTCAGTTGATGCTGAACATTCTTAGAAATACTGTGTGTGAACTTAGAAAAGTGCAAGAAGACAGGCATGTCTTTGACCCCAGGAATGATCATGGGCTGAAAGTGGTGTCAAGTGAACCTAGATTAACAGCCCTCCACTCCAGATGGATATCCAGTGATTCCTAGAATGGGATATAGCCAGAGAACAATTCTATGCACCCTACACTGACAGACTCCCTTAAGCAACTTCTTTCACAAACACCAGATGCTGTACTGGTACTTGAAGTACATGACTTTGAAGTCTTGACCATGGATACCTGAATTGCCAGCAAGCGGGTTTTGAAGCTGGTGCCTCATTGAGGGCATATTAGAGCAACTTGTACATTTGACCTCTTGTTATCAACCATGGTACTCTACTTCGTGTACAAGAGATAACTATGAAAGCCGAATTCAAATACTGGCAACATTTCCTAAAGGGGCTCAATATCTATCATCTTCTTTTCCAAACTACACATCACTGTATGACTCAACCAGTAGCAGTTATATTGCCCCTTGGTTTTTATTCAGTTTAACTACTGTTTCCAAGATAAATGAGCTAATAACCTTAAAAAAAAAAAAAAAAAGCAATTATTTTTTCTTCATCACTGGCATATCTGCCTATTCTCCAGAATTATTATGACTACTCAGCTCACTTTTAACAGTTGATCTTCAAGAGACAATCTTTGAACACCCCTCCTCATGTGATTTAAAATGAAACCATTTGGAAAAGTTTCTTCTAGCCAATAATAGATTTTTTTTTAATTGCTCTGCCTTGTGCCGAGAGATGTTATTTTAAGATGAATCTTTTGATGTCTGATACCACCAACTGTAGATGGTAGGGATAGTTGGAGGCTGGCCCTTTGAGCAGGCCATGATAGCTTACTTGCTGGGCATTTCAGATAGCTTATTGCCTGCCCTTTTGCTGGAAACAGACTGATTTGAAAAACAAAATCTATGAAGACTGCAGCTAAGGATTTTATCAGTAGACTTAAGAGCTTTTGTCCTTGTGGATATTTTAGTGGAACCACAATAGTCTTAATACTGTCATTTTACACTGACTCAGAGCAGCTGACATCATTCCTTGCCATGATATATATTTAAGGCAGGCATTGTAACAGACATTAAGACAACTTATCTGTTTCAGCAGGAAGGATTCAGTTTATGGACTCTCAGACCGGATCATGTTGAACAAGGAGATTTTGATATGTGTCATGAGAAAACTCATCCTTTACTTCCCCAGTCAATTTAAAGGCCAGCTATCCTGAGCTACTCGAATGAATGCGCTGGTTAAACATTGGGGATAGTTTATATCCTCTCTCTCTAGGCCAGTTGTGATTACATGACTCCCCTCTATATCTTGTCAAACAAGGCCTAAGTCTGGTTGCTGTAGACTGCTCACTCTCAACAAATAAAAATAAAATCTGGATGACTAGCCTGCTTGTATATACAACTATTATTTGTTAAGAAGAAATTATCTTCAATTTTCTACTATCTTCAAATTGTCAGCTTTTTTCCTCTCTGATTTTTCCTGTGCTTTACAGAAAAAGACATTGATCTATACTGCCAATCCCTCTAATCCTGCCAACTCATTCAAAATGAATGACTTAAGATGAAGATGATCATCTGCTCAAGAGTCTAAAATATACATTGTAAATAAGAATTGGTGATTAGAAAAGCAAAAAACCTAAAACTTAAACCTAGGAGTTTGCCTACTATCTCCATGTCTCCATGCTTCAGATCTCATCTGAATCTTTGAACAGCACCATTCAACCAATCTGAGGCCTTGGCTTGCTTGTAAGATGATTCTCAGAGATCGGCTGAGTTAAAAAAGATGACGACTTGATTACCAAAGAAAGTAGGGCCAACTTTGACAAACCTGGCTCTGCTGACCCTGTCATTCCCAGATGTAGCATAGACTCCTAAACAGAACCTCAAGTCTGATTGAGGATAAGGCCTTCTCCTGAGCTGAAAGTTCTTTGGCAGATGAGCAAGAAACTGAAAGCTGATGTACCTGACTGGCTCTGTAAGATCAGAAAACTGTATCCAGGATAAGCCCTATGGATTAACCCCTGAGTACCCATGGTAAAAACTAATTTACAGAGCTTCCTTATTGATCTGCCTGTTCTTCCAGATCATAATCTGGCTATTGGTATGGCTGGCCTTTCTGAAGCTGCCCTGCTTGTCTATTTTCGTGACTCAGCTCTTGCCTGCCCTTTTCACATGTTGCTGCAGTTAGACTCACTGACCTTGAGAAGACTACAGCCAATTTTAGTGTATCTTGTGCCCAATACAACAAGGATTTTTAATAGAAACAACCCACACCTCACCTGCTAGGACTCAGTGTTCACAACAGGAAGGACCATGTTGTATACTACTTGACCAGCAGCTTTTTTAAAGATATTTTTAAGTGCAGAGTTAGCCTCTATTCCTGTATGTATTTGATCATTTTCAGCACCTGGAACCTCATCTATCAGGTCTGGAAGGAATACAGCAGATCGAAAGCTGTGTCCATTTCTCTTCTTCAGTAGTACAGAAATGAGTCTGATTCACCAGTACACACAGAACTGTACCAGTTCAGCCTGGCAAAAGAACAGTTTCCACTGTACTTAAAATTTACCGCCAACTCAAATTGCCTCACAGAATTATTTGATGTAGGAGGCTAGTTGTCTTGCTTCACATCAGCAGGACAGTTGGACTCTCAGACTCATGACCACTGAGTTTACTTGTATTGAAACTGTGGTTTCATCCGAAGTATGCTATTGGACTTGATTATTATCTCATTCAAATGGATTACAGACTTACTGAGGACAGGACAAACTTATCTCTCATGGTGTTTTTTTAGAATACTTTTATAACCAAGGAAGAAACCATGCCAGCTGTTACCATTCAACTTCTTAAGCAGAGATTAAGCTTTTTCATATGTGTTCGTATCCTAGACATTTTCATATCTGTTCTTATCCTGGACATCAGTAGTTTTTAATTGCCCAGCATCCGTTCCATCTCATTGTAACAACTCCCTGATGTTTCTTAAAACCACCTCTTCCTATTTTCAGTCTGTGGTTTGGACAGTCTGACCCAACCTTGAGCTTTGTGGGTGGACGTGTAATTCAGACCTCATCAATCAGCAAATCCATCTGAACTGTGGAGGAGAAGCTCTCTTTACTGAGGTGCTTTAGCTTTGTAGGATGAAAACCTCAAACCAACAGGGCCTGCCATGTAGAGAATGAAGCCAGTGCAGGGGAAAGTAGAGCCAAAATATGGAGAGACTTGAATCCTGATGACAACGTTTGTGCCCCTGGATCCAACCGTGCCTGAAGCTAGTATATCCCCTGGACTTTTCAGTTATGTGAACCAATAAATACCCTTTTTTGCTTAAGTTACTTTTGAGTTGGGTTTCTATTACTTGAAATTGAATCCAGACTGATACATCTACCAACTTTGAAACTTGACAGATCCAAGTATTTATTAAACTAGAGGTCATGGTCACTGAAATTACTTTCCAAAGTGGAAGACAAAATGAAACAGGAACTGAGAGAATATTTAAGATACCACAGAAGCATAAAAATGACATAGTAGAAAGTAATAGAAAACCTAAATGTCTGTCGTTAAAGGATAGGTTAAGGTATGGTTCAGCCATATAGGAAAATCTTGTATCTATTAAAATGAATAAAGTAAATTCATTGTGTATGGAAAAATGGCCATGATACATTAGGTGAAACAAGCTACTGATAGAAAAGTGTACAGTGTGAAATCATTTTAAAATGTGTGTGCTTATGTTTATAAATGCATAAAAGTCTATTCACAGCTTTCTTTGAACAGTGTAGATTACATGACACTTTCAACTTTATACATTTCTGTATTAATATTTTACACTACCCACATTACTTTTAAACTTTATTTTAAATAAAGAATTTTTTAAATTAAATATAGTGCTTACTGTTTGACCTTGGCAAGTTATTCAACACTGAGCCTGTTTTATCAAATGATTTAAAATACCCACTTTTATGTTCGTAAATATTAAATATAAATCATTCATTACTCAAGTTGACAGATTGCTATACCTTTACTTGTTTGAAAAACTCAGAGCTCAGTAATTATTCCTTAATTTTTTAAGCATGTCTCCTTCAAGTGAGTTTGTTTGGATTACCAGAATTTTAGGATTTTAAGGTTGATCAAAGATTATTCTAGTTCTTGACTGATGTTAATCCAAGACTCTATTGCAGTATCCACATTAGGCAGAGAGCAGGGGGAAGTCACTTTTTAAAAAAATCCTTGAATTATTCTGATGTCACTGCAATTAAGGTCAATAGTGACCTTTTCATTGGTAAATCCATTACACATGCATCTTATCTGAACTTTCAGCAGCACAGATAACTCCCACCAGCTTCTTGAAACACTCTTACCTTAAGTGCTATAATAATTTTCATTTTCTTTTCAACTTGCTGACTACTCCTTTATTGTAGGTTCTTCTCCCCATCATGTAAATATAGGTATAGTGGACATCCGTTGCTTTGGCTTGCCAAAAATCACTTCCCCTTTCTTTTAATGATACATCCCCACTTATCCTTTAGAAAACTGCTCCTTCGTATTTCATGTGGTGTCACTGGAATTATAGATGATAGTACTCCAGCCTCATGCCCTGTGGTAGTACTCCAGCCTCATGCCCTGTGGCTGAGGTTTGAGCAATGCAAGCTCGTTCTATCCCACCAGGACTTTGATTCTTAAGAGAGGTGACCACCACCGAGCAAGACTTCATCTCAAAACAAAACAAAAATAGCCAGGCATGGTGATGGGTGCCTGTAATCCCAGCTACTCTGGAGGCTGAGGCAGGAGAATCTCTTGAACCTGGGAGGCAGAGTTTGCAGTGAGCTGAGATTGTGCCACTGCACTCCAGCCTAGGTGACAGCAAGATTCTGCCTCAAAGAAATAATAAAGTGGATAAAGCAGGCCAGGACCACTGAGTTAGAATGGTTACTTTGATTGCATTTGCTATTTTTTAATTGTATTTTTATGTATATATATTTTTGAGACAGTGTCTCACTGCAATGCCCAGGCTGCAGTGCAATTACACCATCTCAGCTCGCTGCAATATCTGCCTCCTGGGTTCAGGCGGTTCTCCTGCCTCAGCCTCCTGAGTAGCTGAGATTACAGACACATGCAATCATGCTTGACTAATTTTTGTATTTTTAGTAGAGATGTTGGCCAGACTGGTCTCGAACTCCTGACCTCAGGTGATCTGCCTGCCTTGGCCTCCCAAAGTGCTGGGATTACAGGCGTGAGCTACCGCGCCTGGCTTCATTAGCTATTTTAAAGTGAAGGGCATCAGCTCAAACCCAGAAACTGACCTGTGGGCATAGAATAAAATACAGGGTCTTTGTGTGTCCAGGATAAGTGAATCTCTGTGCTTAAATCCAAACTAGTACTTGGAGATTAATTATTCAAATTGCAAAATTACAATGCTGGTTGAATTTGTAGCAGTACTAAGGTCTCTTTTGTGAGAGTTAAGGTATTAATCAGAAAGGAGACTAAATTATGTATAGAGTGCTGATATCTGGGAAGATTGAGAAGATTTAGAGAATCCCAATCCTCCAAATATCTCAGGAATGAAGGTTTGGGTAACCCTATTAGTCAAAAATCCCTGACTGAATGAAACAAAAAAGTATAGTCAAAAGAGGAAGAAATAAATAGCAGCTATAGACTCATAACCTGTTGGAGAAGTAAGATCTGTAGTCTACCCTGTATCTCTTCATTTGCCTTATTTTATTTCCCCTTCTCCTCTTTATTCATTACAGTATTCTGCCCTAACATTTCCTGGCTGAAGTTTGAGCATGATGCAAGTTAATCCAGTCAGATTTCTTCTCCATTGGAGCTGAGCCATTCTAATGGCAGTGTCCCCTCGTTGATGTGTATGAGTGTGTTGGTGATGCTTAAATATATCAGGAAATCCGTAAATTGCAGATTATCAAGATGGGGTTAAGAACTAGAGAAGAATGAGCATCACCCGGAAATCTTAGGCTTATAACTAGAAATTATTTTAGGTTATCTCCCTTTAAGAGGGAGATCTCTCTTTAGAGGGGATTATGTTGAGTGAAGGTATTAAGATTGTTCATGTTGAAGAATGCATGTCCACATAGTGCACGTTTTGCCTACCCAATGTTATCTTTTTCCCCTCTGAGAATAGCACTTCACTTTTCCTTTGGGAAACTACCCCTTTCCCATGCCATGTGAGCCCAGAGGATAATGTGTAAGAGGTATATGAGTTTCTGAGAGCAATATGAGAGGCCTTCACCTGCCCAGATTCCTGACTTTAAGTCTCCTTGCCCTGTAGACTCTGAAAAATCTCATCCGTTCCCATGGCCTTGGTTTCTAACTGTATGTTGATAACTTCCAGATTCCTACCTTTGGCCTTGATACGTGTCTTGAGCTCCAGATCTGAATGCCCACCTGTATCTGGATGTCCCCTGCTTGATTAACACAAAGATACTCTCACCCAACATAATAAACGCTGACCTCTTCGTTTTTTCCTTACAATCTGCTCTTCCTCCAGTGTTCCCTTTCATGGTAAATGGCACCACCCTCTACTCTGTTTCTCAAACCAGAACATGAGAGTTATTCTCGAAGCTTCCCTCTCTCCCAGAGTCCCTGTTAGTCATTAAATTGTCTTGGTGTTAGCATGTAAATATATACCTTAAAACTCTCTCCACTTCTATCACTTTGTCCAAGGGAACATATATCTGATGCTATAAGTATTATAGTGCCTTTCTAGTGGTCTCACTGCCTCTGTTATTGTCCCACTACATACAGTCTTCTCTACAGAACAGCTGAGTACCGCCCCCCGCAAGAGATAGGGTATCACTGTTGCCCAGGCTGGAGTGCAGTGGCAATCATAGTTCACTGCAGCCCCAAACTCCTGGCCTCAAGCATTCCTCCTGCCTCAGCCTCATGAGTAGCTGGGACTGCAGGCATGTACCACGATGCCTGGCTGGCCATTTATTTAGTTATGTATTTTGTAGAGACATCATCTCACTATGTTGCCCAGGCTGGTCTTGAACTCCTGGCTTCAAGCAGTCCTCCCACTTTGGCCTCCCAAAGCACTAGGATTACATGTGTGAGCCACTATGCCCAGCCTACTTAATCTTTTAATAGTTCCCCCATCATTTCAGAATAAAATCTAAACTATCCTGGTTTACAAGACTCTTTAGCTCTTCATTATCTTATTCGTCAAGATTCATCTTTCACCACTTCAAACAGGAACAACTCAATTTTGTATATTGGAATTTCCTGTATTCATTTGAAAAAAAGTTTCCACTTTTTTTTTTTTTTTGAACTGGAGTCTCGCTCTGTCACCAGGCTGGAGTGCAGTGGCACTACCTTGGCTCACTGCAATCTCCACCTCCCAGGTTCAAACGATTCTCCTGCCTCAGCCTCCCAAGTAGCTGGGACTACAGGTGCACACCACCACACCCAGCTAATTTTTTGTATTTTAGTAGAGACAAGGTTTCACCATGTTGGCCAGGATGGTCTCAATTTCCTGACCTCGTGATCCACCCGCCTCGACCTCCCAAAGTGCTGGGATTACAGGTGTGAGCCACCGTGCCTGGCTGGCTTCCACATTTTTTAAAGCAGGGGAGATGGGAAGTTTTCATTAAAAGAAAAAAAAATTGAAATGATTATTCAGAACAACCCAAAAGCCTATTGCTATGAATACTGTAACTTATTTTCTTCCATATTTCTTTCCATGAAATTTTTTAAAATCTAATATTTGTAAGTATGATACAGAGAGCTACAGTAAGGTGCCTAGAGAGCAACCAAATCCCTACCTAACATTTACAAAGATAAATACCAAAAGGACTACAGATTTAAATCTTAAAATGAAACACTAGAAGAATATTTAGGAAACTATTTTTGTAATCTTATGACATGGGAGATTTTCATAAAGCAGAAAACCTACAAGCCATAAAGGAAATTACAGACATATAAGACTACATGAAACAAATCTTGGTTCTGTAAAAGATGTGATAGATTGGAGAGACAGTTCCAACATAAATGACAGATTCGGGACTCATTGCTAATACAGAGAGTTCCTACAAATTTATAACTAAAGTAATAATTGCCATTTATTTGGTGTTTCATACTAGGCATTCTTTCAGGCACTTTATAAGTGTTATTTAATCGTCACAGTTTATGAGATAGGCAATATTATCCCTGTTTCACAGCTACAGGAAACAGGCTCAGAAGGATAAAGTAACTTGCCCATGTCACACAATAGGTGATAGAGCTATGACTCAAACACAGGTGGTTTGTTAGTCTGTACTTTGAAATGTTGATGCTCTTCAACATTTCAGTAAGCATGTGAAAGACAGTGAGGTCAGTGAGATGT